GTAATACTTATCAATTTTCTTTTTAAAAAATGAACAATATCACACTTGTTCTAATACAAAATAAGAAACCTGACTGTACTGCCAATGTCATCCTTAGTCAAAGAAGACACTTAAGTTATTTGTTTTTTTAATGGTATTCATATTTTCAATACGTTGTAATGATTTCTGCTGTCTCACCATTTACATTGAGTGGACATGCTTCACACTCCTCATCTTTACTTTTTTATATGTGTACACTGATTATCATGTCAGTGAATTTATTTTAAAGAAGAATCAAAATTCACAAAAAAGAACCCAAGAAGATGGGCCTTTTGTATTTCCAAAATCTGTCTATAGGATCACTTCAAAAGCAATAGACTGTATTTCCTCCTCTATGGAACCTCAGAGTTCTAGACACACATTATTCAGCATCCTTGACTTCTATGCCACCAGTTTTCATCATTGGTTCAGGCTTAGGGCTCTTTAGCTTAATCCTCATCTACATGTATTTATGCATTATTTCATTAATATTAATTTTATAATCCATGTAAATATAATATCCAAAGAGTAAGAACATTGAATATTCTAGAACTTTCTATATATTTTGACAGTTTGATACCTCTTTCATGAATTATCCTCAACGTGTCATAAATGAGTTAGTAAATACCATGTTTCAACCAACCTCATATTTATCATTGGCTGAGGTTGGCCTTTTGGATGATTTTTCACACTTTATGATATTATAAATACCCTTTTAAAAGTCTCTTAAAGAAAGACATGAACTTCAACTATTATTCACACTGATGTCTAAGCTCCTAACCAACAGTGTCAACCACAAATCTCTTGACCATGAATGCTTAAGTCACCTCAAGTGCATCCATTCTGCTGAATACAAAGAGGCTATTAAAAAGAAATTCAGGCCGGGCGTGGTGGCTCAAGCCTGTAATCCCAGCACTTTGGGAGGCCAAGGCGGGGGGATCACGAGGTCAAGAGATCGAGACCATCCTGGTCAACATGGTGAAACCCCGTCTCTACTAAAAATACAAAAAATGAGCTGGGCATGGTGGTGCATGCCCGTAATCCCCACTACTCAGGAGGCTGAGGCAGGAGAATTGCCTGAACCCAGGAGGCAGAGGTTGCAGTGAGCCAAGATCGCGCCATTGCACTCCAGCCTGGGTAAAATAAGTGAAACTCCGTCTCAAAAAAAAAAAAAAAATTTCAAACCTTATCTCCATTGATCCTTTCCACATTTCTATTATTCAGTTATTTTTATATTTATTAATTTTTCAGAATGGAAATGTTTTTTCTCATAACAAAAAGAATGATCTAAAATGAGACTGAACCAGAAAATGAAACTGACTCTTACTTACTAGAGTCTATATGAACCTTAGCCAAAGGGGTGATACTCACGATCTATTTCTTCAAGGGGCATCAGTGTTTAAAATTTTTAGTGACAATATTTCTTACAGCATCACATATATTCATAATTGAACAATGATTCACCCTCTATGCTTAATTATTCTATCATTGATCTATCAATGATAAATCTAAATCTATTAATTCAAAGTAAGAATATGGTATTTGCACATTTCTGATATCTATCTAATTATGTTTTGTGTTGGACCTCAGAGTTTCAGACACGTAGTATTCATCGTCCACGACTCAAACGCAACCAGTGGTCATCATTGGTCCATGTTTGGGTCCCTTTTCTTTATTTGTTTCTACATTTGTTTGAATAAATCATTAATTCATTAATAGTAACTAAATAAGCATATGATTTACAAAGCCCAAGACAACATCCTTGAAAATTCCTAACATTAGTCTATGGAATCATTTCCCACATAGAGTATATGTCTTTCATTAATTGACCTCAATGTACATTAACAGTTAATCAAAATAATATTTGGTATCATATTTATAACTGGGTCATAGTTAGCTATTTAAATATGTTTTAACACTTTTTAACAGTATCACTAATACCCTGAAACAAAAGGCCCAGAGAAAAAAAAGAAGTTTTGACTGTTACTTACACTGGTCTCTTTCATATGGAGGACACTTAATCGTGACTAAGGAAGAATGCTTAAGTCAGCTCAGCGCATCCATTCTGAGGAGTGCAAGGCAGAGATGATAAAAACATTAAGATGTTGTCTCCATTGGTCCATACTTTCCACTGTTCGTTTGCATAGTTATTTAGATATGTATTGATTTACGGTGATATTTATTAATTTTTCTCTTAACACAACAAATGTTAAACTTGCAACTGATTTAGAGCAATAACTATTACTTATCACTGTCTATATGGTCTTTCGTGAAAGATGTAATATGCTGATCTACTTATTATCGATTTCAATTTATACTAGTATTATTTGTTCTTATACATTTTAACATCAAACAGTAATTTATGTGTCATCTTTATTTATTTATACATGTTTATTGACTCTGCCATTGCTACTATAATTAAAATATTTTTTAAAATTAATAAACATAAAGACAAGAATAGGCCATATTGTTCTCCTGACATCTGTCTATAGAATCATCTAAACAGAGGGGATGGACTAGATTCCTTTTGGTTCAGACCTCAGAGTTTCAGACATGCATCATTCATCATGGAAGACACATATGCTGGCAGTTGTCAGCACTGGTCCAGGAAGGACCACTTTCTCCTCATTCATTTCTATATTACATACTGATTAACTCATTAATTCACCTAGAATATTGGTTCAGACCTAGGACTCTTTTTCTTCATTCTTATAGACATGCGGTTACTGATCAATTTATTAATTCACTAAAATAAAACAATAAATATCTATGAATCAAAAACTCAAGAACAAGATCTTCAAGTATCCCTAACAACTATATGGACTCACTTGCTGCACTGAATATATAGCTCTCTCATTGATCATCCTTGTTGTTGTAAATTAATCAACATAATGGTTCATATCAATTCCACATTGGTCATTAGGCCATGGATAACTCTTTTTGAATATATTTAATTTTTAAAAAATATTACAGTGAACACCCTAAACAAACCACCGAAACCAAGACAAGAACTCTGACTACTCACAGAGGACTGAGGCTCACACACAGGCTCACACACATAGAGGCAACCATGGAGCTCGTGAACATGGCAGGATGCTTACGCATGTTCTGGTATGCCCACTCTGAGAAGCTCAAAACAGGGCAGATGATAAGAAGACTAGGATGTTATCAACATTGTTGAGTACATCCAAATCTCAGTAAGTCAACTGTGTAGGTATATATTCATTTAATTTGGGGTAATACTTATGTCAATAAAGAATATCAAATTGAGAATATTAAGAATATCAAATTGCCATTGATCCATAATACCAACTTTATCCATTCATCATAACAGGTGAATGGATGAAGAAAATATGGTACATATACACAGTGGAGTACTATTCAGCCATAGAAAAGAATAGGATCCTGTCATTTGCAATTTCATGGATGGAACTGGAGATCATTCTGTTAAGTAAATAAGCCAGGCACAGGAAGACAAACATCTCACTTATCTGTAGGATATGAAATCAAAACAATTGAACTCCATGGACATAGATGGTAGAAGGTTGGTTATGAGAATCTGGGAAGGGTAGTAAGGGGCTGGGCAGGAGGTGGACATGGTTCATGGGTGCAAAAAAATATAATTAGAACGAATAAGACCTAGTCTTTGACAGCAACAGGATGACTACTGTGAATAATAACTTAATTGCATATTTGAAAATAACTGAGTGTAACTGGATTGCTCAGAACACAAAGGATAAATTCTTAACGGGATGGAGATCCCATTCTCCACGATGTGCTCACTTGCCATTGCATGCCTGTGTCAAACCATCTCATGTACCCCACAAATACATATGCCCACTGTGTACCTGTGAACATTCAAAATAAAAGCATAATTTAAAAGGAGTGGGCATGCCTTATACTCTTCATCTTTACTTACTTGTTTTTCCACAATGATCGTTACATTGATCAATTTATAATAATAAAATCCAACTTCATAAAAACAATCCAAGAAAATAGTTATTTTACATTCCGAGAATATGTAGATAGGATCACTTGAAACAGAAGCAATAGGTCGATATTTCATTTCATATTGGACCTCAGCATTCCAGACACAGAGTTTCACTGCAATTGATTCACACGCTACCAGTCATCATCCTTTGACCTAGCTTGGGTCTTCTTTTTCTTTTTTCTCATCTACTTTTGTTGATTATGAGTTTATAATTCTCATATAATAATAAAATAAATATGTATTAGTGATTAAAACTCAAAAAAAAAAACCCACCCCTGTAATCCCAGCACTTTAGGAGGCTGAGGAGGGTGGATCACCTGAGGTCAGGAGTTCAAGACCAGCCTGGCCAACATGGTGAAACCCCATCTCTACTAAAAAATACAAAAATTAGCAGGGCATGGTGGCGGGCACCTGTAATCACAGCTACTCGGGAGGCTGAAGCAGGAGAATTGCTCGAACCTGGGAGGCGGAGGTTGCAGTGAACCGAGATCGCGCAACTGCACTCCAGCCTGGGCAACAAGAGCAAAACTCCATCTCAAAGAAAAAAACCTCAAAAGATGATCCTTCACATTATTCTAGAGATTCACATGCCTCAATGACTATACTTCTTTCATTAATTATTCTCATTGCTGCAAATATTGATTAACCAAAATAACATTTCATGTTTATCACTGGGGAATGGTTGACCTTATTTGTTTGCTTTGAGGCAGAGTTTCACTCTTGTTGCCCAGGCTGGAGCACAATGGCTCGATCTTGGCTCACTGCAAGCTCCGCCTCCCAGGTTCAAGTGATTCTCCTGCCTCAGCCTCCCCAGTATCAGGGATTACAGGCATGCGCCACCATGCCCAGCCAATTTTTTGTATTTTTAGTAGAGGTGGGGTTTCACCATGTTACCATGTTGGGCAGGCTGGTCTCGAACTCCTGACCTCAGGTGACCCGTCCGCCTCAGCCTCCTAAGGTGCTGGGATTACAGGCATGAGCCACTGCGCCTGGCCGGTCTTTCTTCTTATATTTAATACTTGTTTTAATATTACACCAGATACTCTAAACAAACTACTCAAACCAAGATGACAACAATGGACCGTTACTCACATGGGTCTCCATGCTCCTATACAAGGAGTCAACCATACAGATCACTGACCAAAGCTTAAATCAGCTTGGGTATGTCCATTCTAAGAAGTAGAAAACAGAACAGATGGGAACATGATTGAAATATTCTCTCCATTTATCCTTGCATCTAGAATTTATTATTCAGTCTTTTAGGCTTATCCAAATTAGATTTCTAAATATTTCACATGCTCTTAAAAACAAACATCGAAATTCCACTAACACAAAACAAGAATATTGACCGCTGCTGATGTTATCCATATCCTCATTAGCAAGAGGCAACACGTTGGAGCCATGTGTTACTTAACTGACTTAGTGTTTTCCATACTATTAGTTCCTCTTGCCTCACTCATTTCTTCATAGCTGAACCATACTTCGCTCTCTTCACCTTCACTTATTATACTTGTACATTAATTCTTTTTCACTAAAAGGGTTAATTGTATATATTTGAGGTGAATAACACGATCTCTTTATTGGACATGGATACTTTTATTGACCTATTTATTATAATTAGAGTCCAAATTCATGGATTCTAATTATAATGATTCTAATTCTAATTATCCATGGATTTGGATTCCAATTATAATAGATGCCAAGCAAGATCCTTGTAAAATCTTAAATCTGCCCATAAAGTCATTGTCACCAGAGCCAATAAACCGATTTTCTTTTTATGCTGGACCTCAGAGTTCCAGACACGTATTCATCATGCACGACTCATACGCCACCAGCAGTCATCATCGATCCAGGCGTGGGCCTCATTTTAGTTTCTTTGCTTATCTGGTATTTCTTTCACTCTCCTCTACCTTTGTTTACTAATTAATTCATCAATTATCTGATAGTAAAATAAATCACCACAAAGCACCTAAGCCTAGAACATGAGTGAGCCTGAAAGAGGGCTGCATCTCTACATAGAATCACTTTATCTCTTCAATTAATCATCCTCAAAGATGATTAATCAATATAATGTTTCATATGAATTCCATATTTATCACTGGGACATGGTTGGCTTTCTTTGATATTTCAAACTTTTCAAATAAAGAGTATACGTCCACAAAAACTCACATTGGTTTTCATGTGCCAAACATACAGAGGCAACTATATATCTGTGACTACCAAAGAATCCTTAAATCAGCTCCAGGGCCAACCTAAGGAGTACAAAGCAGAGAACTGATTAAAAGAAAATGAAGACTTTATTTTAATTGAATCCTGCTCCCTATTTAATTTACTCATTCACTTAGGTGTTTATTACCTTTTTGTAGTTTATGTGTTTTCTAGACAAAACATACAACCTTAACTTGGTTTGAACCAGAGTAATAAAGTTGACTATTCTTTATCAGTGTCTATATGATAATTAAAGGTAACACTTTGATCTACTTATTTCTTAATGGGAATAATGTTTTCAACATTTATTAATAATATTTCTTGCCTGACCCCATATATTGATAATTGAACAAAGCGTCACCATCTGTAGTATAATAAATCACACTTATTGATTTATATATTTAATGCTTCCATGATTGATTTACTTATAAGAATACTATCAAATACGTATTAAGAACAGACAAAGATTTTGCTCTTTTATTTTGGATTTCCATCAGAGTAATTAGAGTAATTAAACTAAATTTTTTAGTGTTGGACCTCAGATGTCCAGACACAAAACATTATTCATCCTCACTGACTACGCATACCCCGACAGTCATTATCCAGGCTTGGGCCTCTGTTACATCATTCATCCCTACGTTTCTTTACCAGTTAATTTATCAGTAAACTAATAATATTAAAGTAAATATCTACATATCTAAAACACTTATAAACAAAATCCCAAAACCCTTGAGAACAAGATGCTTAAGTGCCCCTGCTTTTTTTATTATTGTTAATCATCCACAGTGATATTAATTAATCAACAGTTTTCATGTCCACCACATAGCTACCATTGGGTCACCAGTGGCTTTCTTTGGTTATTTTAAAATGTTATAGTGAATCTTTAAAAACCTACCCTAAACAAATACAAAAATATGACAAGAAGATTGACTGTTACCTCCATTAGTGTCCGGGCTCCCACCCGGAGGCCACCACAGAGGGCGATCACAGCAGAAGACGTGGGTCTGCCCGTTCTGAGAAGTACAAAGCAGGGCAGATAAAGAAAATAAAAATGGAGACATAGTTTTTCTTGACCTATGCATGTCACGTTTCATTCAGCCAGTCATTTAGGTATTTATAATTTTATAATAATATAATGAGTTAACATTTATTAGTTATTTTTAGAAAACTAACAACATTGATCTTGCCACTGACACAAATCAAGAACGCTGCTCTGTATATTGACTGTTATTTCATAATAGACCCCATTGTTTTCAATATATATGAATAGCTCTTTTATCTATTCATATAATTTTTGTAATTGAACAGTACTTCACTTATTCATATTTATTTATGTTTGTTTATAATAATAAAATCAAAATCTATGAACACCAGGCCAAGACCATGATTTTTTTTTATCCCTAACATCTGTCCACAGCATCACTCCCAATAATGGCAATGAGCTAGGCTTCTTATTGCCAGACCTCAGACTTCCAGACACGTATTATTCATCATCCAGGACTCATACGCCACCAGTCATCATCACTGGTCCGGGTTTGGTACTCTCTGTCTTCATTCTTATCTGCTTTTGTTACGGACCAATTCATTTACTCTCTGACAATAATAAAACAAATACTCTTGAATCACAAACTCAAGGCCAAGATGCTTAAATATCCTACATCTGTCTTCTAATTTGCCACATCCATACGGTTTCACTGATCATTCTCAACATTTCATATATGGCTTAGTTAATATAAGATTGCAGTGCATAATAGTTCAATGTATACCATCTTGCCACGCATGGCTTTCAGTGACGACGTTTCACACTTTTTAAATATGGAGTGAATACCCTTAAAAATGGCATATTCAACCAAGATGAGACTTTAACCATTATTACTCACATTGGTTTCAGTGGGCCAAACACACAGGGCAAGCGTAATCATTTCAAATGCACCCATTCCGGTGAGTATAAAGCAAAAAAGGTGATTTTTAATATAGAGACATTATCTGCATTGATCTCACTTTCCACATTTTATTTATTTACTGGATCATTTAGGTATTTATTAATATGTGTAATTAGGTAATATTTCACTTCTATTGATTTACTTGTACTTGTTTATTGATTATTCCAATGATCTATAGTAATAGCACTTATTATTTGCACTGACTACATAATTATTAGTCAAATAAGTTATATTTTTAAACCATGTCGTGCTTAATCTATTATCTTCTAATATATATTAATAGGTTTTATTGCCTCATAACATATTTTAATAATTGGATGATGCTTCGCCTAGCTGTATTTATTTATATTTGCTTGTTGATTATTTTTATAATTTTAATATACCCAGTTATAACGATAGAATCAAAACCTGTGAACACAAATATCAAGACTATGCTCCTTACATATATGTGCCATTTATCTACAGAATCATGTCCAATAGAACCAGTGGACTAGATTATCCCTGTGTGGGACCACTGAGTTTCAAACACATAATATAATAATTAAATAATGTTACAAAAACTTAAGAACAAGAAATACTTTATAGCTAGCTACAGGATCATCTGTCACAGTGATTTCATCATTAACCATTTTTAATTTTGTAAATATTAGATAATCAACATGTTTCATGGCAATGCCAGATTTATCACTGGACCGCAGTTAACCTTTTGGATTATCTGTAATGCTTTTAGTAAAACAATGAACACCCTTTAAAAACCCTAGAACCAGGGTAAGAACTTTGACTATACTCACATTGGTCTCCAAGCTTCTAACACACAGAGGCAGCCAGAAACCTGGCGACCATGGAACACAGCTTAAATCAACTTGGGAGCATTCATTCTGAGAGTACAAAGCAAAAAAGATGAAAAGATTAAAATGTTCTGTCCATACATTTCTCCTTTCATTTTATTCATCATGTAAGTATGTGTGAAACTGTATTTTTTCTTGAGAAAACAAACAACAACGAACATGGCCCTGACCAAGTGACCCGCCATAAGCTCTTATTTTTACTGAATATGCCATCCTCCAGCAAGGGAGTAATACCTTTGAGTCATTTATTTCTTAATAGAAAGAAGACCTCAGTGTTTTTAATATATATGAAGAGTATTTCTTATTTCACTATATATTTCCATAATTGGACAATGCCTCACTCTTTTTATCTTTGTGCAGTTACATATTTGTTTATTGATTCATTGAACCAATTATAAAAATAGAGGGAAAATGCATGAACACAAAGACCAAAAACAACATCTTTGAATATTCCTAAAGTCTATGCTTTGTATCAGAATGTAAAGACTAGATTTTTATCGTATTGGACCTCAGACTTCCAGACCTGTATTCATCGTCCATGACTCATACGCCACCAGTCATCATCATTGGTCCAAGATTGACTCTATCTGTCTTCATTCATGTGTACATCGTTTATTGATCAATCAATTCATTAATAGTGCTGTAATAATAAAATACATAGCTATGAACAGGGAAATCTTAAGAATCCATTTATACTTAAGTAGTGAATAATAAAAATGCTTGACTTATTTGATTACATTTTAGACTTTTTAAGAATACAGAGAATACCCTTAAGACAAAACAAACATTTTGACTACTACTCACAAGAGTCTTCCTGTGACACACAGAGGTAACCGGAGAGTTCACGGTCACAGCACAGTGCTTACATCAGATGGGGCTGTTCATTCTGAGGAGTACAAAGCAGACCAGTCAATAAGATTGACTATTTCTTACACGCAGTGTCTTAAGACACTTAAACAAAGAAGTAACATGGTTGATCCACATATTTCTTGAGACTTTAGTGTTTTCTATTAGTAGAGTTTCTTGCCTAATCACATTTATTCATAGTTGAACAATGCTTCAATCTTCTTTTCTACTTGTTTATATAATAAAATCAAAATTTACTAACAAAATCCTTGATATTAGACAAGAACTTAACACAATCACTAACAGCAGCATGTGTTCCCCATACTCACACAGGCAGCCATCAAACCATCATCGGTGGAAGATGATTGGATCACCCATCATGCCTCCATTCTGGGAAGTACAAAACAAATGTTAGAAAAAATAAAAGCCCTGTGATTTTTCCTTCTGTTTATTGGTGTCATGTGTTACTGTATTAATTGAAATTTTTGATAGGTAACAGAGTTTTATCACTCGCTTATGATTGCCCTATGACTAGCTCTCAAAGTTAACTTTTAGTAGACTAGCAGTACGATAAACCTCATTCCTAAATACAAGGAAAGAGCTACGTCTCTAATGAATAGCTGTCTCTATGCCCCTCTCACATAGATAACAATTTAAGTTCACTTTAAAATGACCATACCTGCTTCATATTAACCCCATACTCTTAACTGGTCAAGGCTTCATCATCTTTCATTGACATTGTCCATATTTTAAGGACGTGACAATAAACAACTATGAACCTGCCATTTTACTCCACACTGACAGTGTCCTCCATCTTGGAATGTGACTAAGCTGTCTTTATAGAGGGAGCTTAAGATCAACTGCGACTCAAATAAAATTGAATAATTAATTTTTACATTAACCGAATAATTAACTATTAAAAATGAAAAAGATGGTCCTGCTTTTTTCTCCTTCACTGACCATAGATGTGCTGAATCATTCACACACAAACGTCATTCATTTAACGGTATACATAGCCATTTATTCCTTACCAGCAAGAGTTAACTCTCATGATAACCACTAAAGCAAAAGCAATCACTTTGTTACTTACATAGGTTTCTACACTCATTCATTACTCAAACAGACAACAACCAGGATCTTCTCGCTGGAGAATAATGGAATCATTGCACATCCATTCTGTGGAGTACAAAGTGAATATAAAAATAGGTTAGATGACAGAGAGAGAGAGACAGGCGGACAGAAAGAGAGAGAGAAAGAGAGAGAGAAATGGATCAGCCCAGATTTAGATTTTTTAAAATTCAGTTCAAGTCATCCATTATTGATTAGGAATAAACCCTGGTACTCATCACATATTTGAAAGATGAATGACATATCCATTGATTCACTGATTCACTGACTCACATATTAAATTTACTATCAGTAACACCAGACAAAAGAGGAAGAACTGTGACTATTAAACTTGTCTGTCTCTTTATCTGCCTTCGACCCAACCAGGAAAGAGTTAAATCTCCTTTCTGCATGAATCTGGCTAGAAAGAATTAAATTCATCTAAATCCTAGATTCAAGTACATTCTCATCAACTGTGCATTGTGCATGCGTGCATACATACATATGAAATTAAACAGTTACACATGGAGTCATTTGTCTATCCCATGTTTTAAGGAAACTGCACCAACAGGACTGAAAGGGAAATGCTATGCAAATGTAGAAATATATTCACCATTCCAAAAATGCAAGAGCTACGTCAATTTTGTTTATGAATATGATGACAGTTTTGGTGGGCAGTTGTATGGAGCTGGATTAATCACTCTTTCTGTTCCACAATACCTGGCCCTCATTGGTTCATGATTTGGACTTATTTTAAATAACTGGTTGAGACATTAGTTTATTATTTTTACATTTGTAATGAAATCATTATATCTGCGACTCCACAGAAACTGGACAATATCAATGCTTGTCCACATGCTCATTAAACAGAAAATTCACATCATTTTCCTTGTTTTTGTAAATTAAACTGAGGAACTGAATTTAAATACAATGAAGATTATTAGAACTCATTATAATTGGTCATTTGACATATTCTCAAGACAGATCCATGTGTAAACCCCTCTCGATTAGGAAGTGATTTAATCAATAATTAATTTAAGTAAATATTTTGCCTTTTCTTTAAAAAAAAAAACAAAAAAATGAACACCGTAACCCAGAACAACAACCCAGACTCTAACATCCGTTTATCTATATGCTCCCCACCCAAAGGGTAAGCTTTGGGTAATTTACTTTACTGGGACTTGGTGCTTCAGAAATGTATTAGTGATGATTCTTATTATTTTATGTATGCTCATATTTGGAGCAGGAATAACCATTTTTTATCTATTTATACAGCACTTTTCTTGTTTTATCCATGTACTCCTTTACTAAAAATAACACAGTCCATACTCAGAAGCCCAAGAACTAAATGCTGATTATTATTAGCTTTTGGAATAAGCTCATTTCCCATAGAGATAATGAAAAGTTCTCTTTTTGTAATGGACCTCAGAGTCACAGGGTTTAATCAAAATCCAAGATTCAGACACCCCAGGGTACTCATCATTGATCCAGGATAAGCAATCTTTTGCTTCATTTATACGTTTGTTTATTGATCCATTCATTGATTCAGTAGTAGTAATAAAATCAACACCCATTGTTATTTTAACACCCAAGAACAATATCCTTGAATATTGCCAACACCTGTTTGCAGACTCTTTTCGCACAGACTAGTCCTTTTCTCAATAGACTCATCTCCTTTTGTAGTGGCCCACAGTGAAGCAAGCACAGGTCAGTGAATGTCCTCGCTTCCTCGCCATCTCATTCCACTTATTTTCCCCCTTTCCGTGCATTCCTCCTGCATTAAGGAGCTGTCTAACAGGAGTTTGCATATAATGTAAATGTACCGTAACTAGATTCTCCGAGACAGTCACCAATGGCCACATATAGCTACTGAGTACTAGAAATGTGGCTAATGCAACCAAGAAATTAAATTTAAAAGTGCCTGTACCTTTAACTATTTTAAATATAAACAACCACATGTAGATGGAGAAACAACATTGAACAGTGCAGCCATAGACTTCATTACTGAATAAATCTTAAACACAGTAAAAAGGAGATGAATTATTAATCAGATGTAAAAATGAATAAAATGTATTTCACCTTATTTTTAACCAGAATTGTGCTTAACTGGACTAACCATCAGCTTAGTTTCATAACACATTCATATCACTGATCTACATATAGCTTAGCTTGAAATAATTCAGTAAACATTAATGAAAAATTTACCCTCATTGACAAGTTTTTTGACTGTTATTTACTTGTCTTTAGCTTCCTTACCCAAAAAGGTAACAGCCAAGATCTTCATCAACAGAGACTGATTAAATCAGCCACAGTCTTCATTCTGTGGAGTTTGTTAATACAAATTTTCAAAAGAATGAACAGTACAGATTTAGATTGACTTAAAAGACATTAGTTGTGTGATAATAAATTAATCATAAAGTTGATTCAAATCCCATCTTTATCATTGACCCAAGAACTGAACTTATTTTTATTTCTTGATTTAACTATTAAATAATAATAGTTAAAATAGTTAATAGTGTTTAAATAATACAATAAACACTGTTAAACTCAACACCCAAAACAAAACTAAACTATGATATTCATCTGTCTATAGACACCAGCCTACATAGGCAACTGCTTAGATCATCTTTTTTATTTAATGGTCTCAACATGTATAGAAATGGATGAATTTAAATTCGTGATTCATGGCATATTTTCACCAATGGTAAATGATTAACCCCTATATATTAATTCAATCATCTATTGTTTCTATTTCTTCATTTATGTTATGACTCATGGAATATTCTATTATACATTCACAAATACTAACACACACACACACACACACACACACACACACATACACACACTCTGCAGTAAACTAATGAAGAACCCAGGGCAGAAATGCTTTTCATGTTCAATGTCTATAGTCCCATACCTAACTAGGAAGAGAGCATCAGTAGTATAAACAAAGATTAACTTTCATTTTCATTTCTTACCCAACTGTGATATGCTCCCTTTTAAAAAATTAACTGTGATAAGGACGTATTCTATTCACATATAACGATTAGGTATATGGGAATTTACTAACATTATAGAAGAAGCTTGAATAATATTATGTCTCCACATGTCCATGATGCTATCCAGGGAGATCGAAAAACTAGATGCTTTTTTTAGTATTTAATAAAACTCAGTATACAGAGTTGGGTTAATAATAACTTTCCGACAGGAATATTCTCAAGTTGAAATGTGCTCATTTATTTCCAATTAAACAACTGCTTAACCTATTATTTATTTAATTTTCCCTTCTCTAAATAAAACCAATCAATAAACAACCAGCAACATCAAACAATTATTTCGTGTCCTGCATACATCTGTTCACATACTCCTTCCGAAACAAAGCAACAGCCTTTATCAATACTTATCACAGGGATTCAGTGCTATAGACGTGTATAATAATAGTCCATGTGTCACTACATACTCTCATAATTGGTCTATGCCAAGCTCTCCTTTTATTTACCCATTTATGCAACATTTATGCATTGATTTACTTATAAAATGGAATCTATACCCATAAACTGTGACTACCTATGATCAAGATACCTGAATACTGTGAACCTGTGCTATAACCTTATTTCCATAGAGGGAAAAATGGAGGCCACTTTTTAAAATGGACCTCAGAGTTACAGATGGCTTTAATCAAAAGTTTTGATTCAGACACCCTCCAATCTCATCATTGGTCCAGGCTTGGTACTCTTTTTCTTCATTCATGTATACCTTCATTTTCCCATGAATCACAAATTCTAAGAACAAGATCCTGGATATCACTACAACCTATCTCCAGGCTCAACTTCCACAAAGCTGTCAGACTGGATCTCAGTACCACACGTGGAATCATCAATGAACCTTGCTTCATGTCAGTACTATCAATATGGATGGCCGATGGTTGGGCTGTGTTCATTCAATTTGTCTAATTTTAGAGGTGATATAATGAACAATCAAAATCTGCAATGGTATCCCCCACTAGAACACAGGCGGCATGCTTCACCTTACAAGAGCTTCTCCTGAACAGTTAACAGCCTGACTCTCTTCCAATATGGAAATGTTTAAATCAAGTGTGGTGCAGAAATACTACAAAATATCAAACATTTGAAAATTAAATTCCTTCTAGCTTTTTAAAAAATAAGCCTCTACTGTGCTAAAATGAGTCAGTCCTAATCCCTGGCCTACAACACATTCCTATTGTTGGCTGTTACCTGATGCTTTTATTTTTGTGTATACGGCCTTTTGCTCCTTTCTCAATGATCACACATGAGCCAACCGCGTAACCCACCAACAGAAATTCTATTACTAACATTGCTCCTTACCCACAGAAGAAAACGCCATGCGCTTCACCTTGGGGAAATGACCAAATCCAGTCTGCTCTACTCATTCTGCAGGAAAAGGCAGATTTTTAAAAGGATTAAAAAGATAAATTTTTAAATCTATTTTTAAGTAGAAGTTACTTTTCCATTACTGGATGGATCATAAACATTGGTTTGTATCAAATTTTCACCATCAACCCAATAGTAGTTCTTTTGAACGTATTAACTTAATTCTTAGCATGAAATAATATCGTGAACATTTTTGAATCTACCACGCAACACAAGAAGGGCAATTTTCAGTATCTGCTGAGGTATTCCCAGCATAAAGGGAAGACACATTTTTAATGAGGAAAACTTTTGCACTATAAGATGAATTGAAATTGTTGTTTTATAACACAATCTGACCAGTGGGCCACAGTTATTTGAATTCAAGCTATTTACTTTTTTGTTTATTTACTCATCTATTTAATGACCCAAGAAGTAATTCAATTATGTACTATTTTTTCTAAAGAAAACTCAAAATAGTGAAGCCACCTGCTACCTAAAACTAAATACTGTTACCTGCAACGGTTCATATTAGCCCTGTATGTGCTATTGGAACATTCCTTAGTGATGTGAATGTTCTGTATCAGCAATTTTGAAATGGTGGCCACTTGCTACATGTGGCTTGGGGTGTGGCTAGTGTGACTGAAGAACTGAATTTTTACTTTTTATTAATTTTCATTTAAATGTTAATAGCAAAATATGTCTAGAGAATGGGTCTCTACAACCCTTCCTAAGGAAGGAGGGTCCTGGACCTTTTTCATTTAGGTGGACTTCAAGAGGACAGACAAGATTAGTCACACGCCTTCATACACTACATAAGCTTCTCACTAGTCCACGGTTTGCCCTCTTTTAAATAAGGGATGGAGACATAAAATGATTTTTTTACTCATAATAATAGTGCCAATATTCATGAACTCAAAGGACACTGGACAAAAGCCCTGCATTACACTAACGTCTATTTATTCCCTTACTACTCATAAAAGTCATCAAAAATGCATTTGCATCTTTCTTTTCAAATAAAAATTAGCAATCACAAGAGGACTTTTAGCTACTATATTCAAATTTTCAATATTCATTCTTAGACTTTTTCCACATTTTACAACCTAATCATTAGTATTTTAATGTTTATTAATGGTATTAAATTGGTTTTTATTAAAATAATTTATGTTAATATATTTGTCATGATTTATATTATTGAATATAAATATTAATTATATTAGTTATTATTTATTATATTAAGTATTATCAAACTAAATACATCATTTATTTATGTTTTATCCCTTTCTAAATCAAACAAGATATGCAACCAGAAACTTGCTACTAACTTGGAACACTGTGTGCATATTTATCTATATGTTCTCAAAGGAGGAGTAGACATTTTATTTTATTTGAACTCAAAACATAATTAGCTCCTTTCATAATTGAATGAGATGTAGCCTTCCTTGTCTTTATCTGTATTTTTCTTTATTCATTCATTGATTTACTTATAATACAATCTATGCCCACTAACCAAAAAGAACCAAGAACACATTCCTTGAATACATCTAACCTTCTCCCCAAGCACATTTCCCATACATGCAATGGACCTCAGAGATACAGACAGGGTTTAATCAGAATATTTGATTCAGATGCCCCACGCATACTCATCATTGATCCAGACTTGGAATTCTGTGCTTCATTCAGTTATGCTGATCTTGAGTTACACATTCATTCACTAACAGGAAAATCACTATCCAAGAATTAGAGGGCATAAAATCCTTGAAGATGTAACTGTGTATGTAAGATTCATGTTCCTTAAGACTGAAGACTGGCTGCCTCTGTAGTGAGCCTCAGTGTTGCAAAGGTGAATTAATTCATTTCCACAAATTGCACCACTTCAATTCCATATTAGCCATTACTACAGTTGGGCTTTTCTCATTTAACATCCATTTTTGTAAGATGGCACCATGATTATACCACAGCTGTAGGCAAGATTTTCCGTTTTCTTATGTTCTTCTCTCAATTAGTTCACAGTCAATAACAATACCAATGGGGAAGTGTTTAAATCCACTATGGTACAAAAACGGCGTATTAAGGCATTCTGAAAATCACAGAAATACCTTTCAACTTTTTGTCCTAATGAATTTGATTGTGCTGAAATGGATTAACCATAATTCTTAATTCATAACACATTTCTACCATTGGTCCATGCATAACCACCTCTGGCTCATTTATGTATGTAGCCATTTATTCCTTTGAAATAATTCAATGAGGCCAGGTGAGGTGGGGCATCCCTGCAGTCCCAGCACTTTGGAAGGCTGAGGCAGGCAGATCACAAGGTCAAGAGATCGAGATCATCCTGGCCAACAGGGTGAAACCCTGTCTCTACTAAAAATGCAAAAATTAGCTGGGTGTGGTGGCATGTGCCTTTAGTCCCAGCTACTCCGGAGGCTCAGGCAGAAGAATCCCTTGAACCCGGGAGGCAGAGGCTGCAGTGAGCTGAGATTGCATCACTGCACTCCAGCCTGAGTGATAGGAAT